TAGGATAGTAGGATAGTAGGATAGTAGGATAGTAGGATAGTAGGATAGTAGGATAGAAGGATAGTAGGAGCCTAGGAAAGAATAATATTTGTTCTATAGAGAGAGTACTCGACCAACATAAAATAGATTTTATCAAAACATTGGATCGAGAGAAAAGGTTTTTAATATTTTGTATTTGCTCTTTAATGAAAAATCATCATATATCTTCTTTATTTTACATTTCGTTGGTTTCAAAGAGATTATATTATTAATCTTAAAATATAAAAAGTCTTTTTCTTATAAAAAAGTTTAGCTGGTTCTGATTTAAGAATTTCTAAATAATTGCAAATTCTACGTCGCAAAAGTATTTATTAATATGTTACCGTCCTTTTCCTTCCTTAGCATAGTATTTATTAATATGTTACCGTCCTTTTCCTTCCTTAGCATAGTATTTATTGGCAAGGGCTACCACAATATGTATAGCAAACAAATCATGTTATGCTAAAACTCTTTTGAAAAGTTAAAAATTTTGTTGTCTTAGATCTTGGATAGCTAAATATTTTGTTGATGTTTTGCTTTAAACCCAATGTTTGCAATTTTTGAAAAGCTCTTGATCCCTTCATTTTAGCAATAAATTGGAAAATGCAAAAACCTAAACTTTTTCTCAATCAAACTCAGTAAATCAATCAAACCTACACTCAACTTTTAACTTTAATACAGTGGTAACCAGAAAACTGTGGAATAGGAAGACGGCATTAAAGCAATAATAGACAGTATTTGATGCGGTTACATAACAAACTGTTTTCTAGTAGATTATAAAATCAGTTGTTAAGTCAATTGGGCCTTTTTACACCGCACAAATGTGTTGTCTCATGTTCATTGCACTATTCAAAGTCATAAATTGAGATTGAAAGTCGTCTCCCTGATCCAAAGTTTTCTGGTTATCACTGTACATTTATCATACAGTGGGATCCATAACACATTAGAATAGAACAACGACTGTTAGACTTAATCTATAATGTAAAATAGTCCAATAAACATAAAACATAAGAACTGTGTAGTATAAACAACCAATTCTACTTGATAAATTGATTTTTAAACTACCTAACAACATCAAATACATAAAAGATTTCTTAATGTCGTCTTCCTATTCCACAGTTTTTTATGAGAATCACTTTTTTGACAAAATAAAGTTCTCGAATCTTTTTATACATTAACTTGATTCTAAGAACTCAATATAAAAAGTTTTCTTATTATTTACAACTTTTTCCGATATTAAAAAGTTGTAAAAGGTTCTTTGTAAAAAGTAAAATTAATGGTTGCTAGGTTGGATAATAGGATGGTTGGATGGTTGGATGGTTGGATGGACGGTTGGATGGTTGGATGGTTGGATGGTTGGATGGTTGGATGGTTGGATGGTTGGATGGTTGGATGGTTGGATAATAGGATGGTTGGATGGTTGGATATTTTTTTTTATAGTTGGATGGTTGGATAGTTGGTTAGATGGTTGATTGGATAGTTGGATAGTTTGATGGTTAAATGGGATTGTTTTTCTTCAGTATAATTGAATTCTTGAGATTTAAACAATTTAATCAGGGTTCGATTCTTTAAATTCATTCAATATATAGAGACTTCAAGATCCAAAGCAGAAGGATTTGAATAAAAATATATTTGAAAAAATCACATCTAAAGCAGATACCTAATGCCAGCCAAACCATGAGAGAGAAATATACAAATTATAGAAGGTGGCATATCTCTTATTGTAAGGCGGAGGTCGTCTTTTTGCCGGATGTTGGACGATTTTTAAGATTCCACAGTCCGCTGGAACGCAAAGCATTTTATTAAAAAAACAGTTTCGAAGTTTAAAGTTTTGAAAAATGAGCTACCCCCCACCCCCATCGCTAAAATATTTCTGACAGAGCTGTATATTGAGGCATTTTATCCTAGTTTATCGTCCTGCAGCTCTCTGAGTGGTTTATTGTATATTTTATGTTAAACGTTTTTCTGGATCAATGGATTAGATATACAGCACAAAGATCAATAGATGGATCAATAAACGGATCAATAGATGGATCAATAATAAACGGATCAATAGATGGATCAATGGATTAGATATACAGCACACAGATAAATAGATGGATCCATAAACGGATCAATAGATGGATCAATGGATTAGATATACAGCACACAGAT